CGGGCTCATGGTCGGGTGGAAATGACTTCAGCGGTTTCACGCTGTGACCAACTTGCAGGGGAAGCGACGTAGTCGCGCAGGCGTGGCTTGGGGGGTTAGTGGGAGCTGTCTCTGACACTCAGCTAAGAAGGCCCAAAACCTACTTTGTCAGAGAAAACCTCTGTGCCGCTTCCGCGCAAAATGTTGTACAGAGTTTTGTGCCCTGGGTTCCGCAGAAATCACGCAAACCGTGCAAGGCGCAGGGTTTGCGGCAGCGCAACCCGGCTTCGCGCCTCAACATCCATGGTTGCACACAAATTGAACCGCCCTAATTTCCCAGATGATCCCCAGTTGCATGGGCCAGGAAAGGAAGCGGGAGGAGATGATCATTTTGTCGAAGCGCCAGGAGGTCATGCAGCAGCGAATCCACGCTGCTGGGAGCTTATTGCGTGCAATTCCTCAACCGCAGCCTTTTTGGCTGCGTTCCGCCGAAAAAAAAAACAAGGCGCGCGGGGACATTTTTAGGAGTTGGCAAACGGATGTTTACTCCTTGCAGTCGGTTTGGACAGCGTGAGTTGCATCGGCATGTGAATTATAAACACGAGGCGTCATTGAAGACCTCTTTTGCGCCCTGAGGGAGCTTGGTGAGATTTCCTAGAGCACAAGTGCCAAGAATGGCCATCGCTGACATTTCGACATGCTGGTCAGAAATTACTTGTTGGCCGTGGCAATGGCTTGGTGCAACGCAAATTGATGCAACCGTCCGAGGTTGACATGTTAAGGCACCATGCGGCGCTTGGCGCTTGCACAGCCCAGCTTTATCGCACTTGGCTGAGGTCCAGGCGGTCAGAGAGGGTCGACGCCGCCGACTTGAGGCGCAAAATCCACGGGCTGACAAGTTGAAAATTGCAAGGTGCACACCATGCAAGATGTTGGGTTGACGGGGGGGGGGGGTTTGCCCGGACTTTCATGCTGCCCCGTGCAGCGTGTTCTCTTGAAACCTGCATCTTCTGCATTTCCTTGGTACCTTCTCGGAACTCGTCACAAATCCGACATGACAGCTGTTGCCGATGTCGGCCAGGGAGATTTTGGCTCGAAGAGCACCGCCAGCCTGCCGGTGCCTGGGAGGGAGAAGCGAAAGGAAAAAATCAAATGAACCCAGCCAACGATGTTCTGGGGAGCAACCGGCACCCAATTGGGGTAAGCTTTTAGGGCCTGTTTCGGTGTTTCTGTGATCAGGAGTGCTTTCGGGATGGTTTGGGTGTTTTGTGGGTTTCGCGGGTGTTTTGGGTGTGTGTTTTTGGTCTTCCTGGTGTTTTGGTGTCTGGTCGGTGTTTTGGGTGCCCAAATCTTCGAGCATATTCCAATTTCGATTGAATCTTCATGTCAGAAGGACACAAGGGTCCTAGTGAGCACGAAGTTCTACGACTTGGTTCAACAAGATTGTAGTAAGGGTCCATGAAAAGAGTCTAAACAAAACATGTTTTGGGTTCCGCCCATGCGTCAATTCCGTTTCCATTTGGATGCGAGGATAGGCCCACCTCAATGCGATTCAAGCGCTCTGGTGATCGAGTCCCGACAGAGTTTGGTTGGCGCTTTTTAGAACTATTGCTGAGATGTCTGAAACATTCGCTGTATCACAGTTTGCAGCTTCGCGATGTATTCTTGTTTTCACGGCTTGAGGCTGCCCACCTTTGAAGCAGTCAAATGAGCACCCGCCCTACAAGTCTGAGGATACTTGGAAGCGAACAATGTGAGAAAGAGAAGCTTGAAGTAGGGGATTGATCCCCTCTGAAACTTTGTGCTTTTGGGCAACTGCGATTTGCCTTGAGACAGAAGAAAACATGTTAGGAAGCGCGCGGCTGTCCTGTCGCGTTTTGTGTCTTCACCATTCTGTTTCCAACCTGCATTGCTCTAGGGACAAAGGGTTGATCAGAGATAGCGAAAGTTGATCAAATTCTCAGAAGTGGACTCACTTGCTGGGTTTGTTTCTGAGCCACAGAAAGGGAGACCATTAGAGGCGATCACCCTGTCTTTGGCTCCCTCGCGACTCTGAAACATTATGTTCCCCGCAGGAATCAAACTGAGCCATGACTTTGGGCTAGGTCAACCCTGGACCTTGAGTCAAAACATCGAACACGTGACAGAGACCATAAACCAATGAGTTTTGACCTTGTCATGAGAGCCTCAAGCCTGGAGGTTCCTACGCAAACACGCGGGGATCGAAGGCTTTGACTCTACCTCGAAGGAACGGCCATCTAGAAAACAAAAACGGCAAGCCATGCTCACGTGCAACACAATATTCCCCTGAAGGGGGCAGGTTGGTACTAACCTTGTGGGGGTGTCTCAAAATTATCCTCAAAATAGTCGATGTCCTTTCGGGAACCCCTTTTGTCGCCAAACGGGGGCCCCAAAAAAAGGAACCGCGCCCAGGGGGCTACCAGGGAGACGGGTTGACAGTCCCAAACACTTTGAATCGCAGGCCATCTCACCTGAGAGCCACTGAGCCGAGAGACGGGAACTGAATTGGTTTGGAACATGCAGGGCTTTATGTCAAACATCCCAGCCCAATGCTCCGTTTTCATTTTTTTGCTGTTCTCAACATTCTTGCGGGAAAGCTTAAGGTTGGAGTCATTTGAATGGGCATCTCTGTGCAAACGTCTCCATGCAAATCGTGGTTGAGAGGAGCCCTTGCTGTTCGCTGCTTTGGGTTGCTGGTTTGGGTTGCTGGTTTGGGGACAACCCAGGGGATGGAAAACCGCCCCCAATTGACCTGCCAACCACCAGAGGGCAGCTTCATCCTGTCAGCTCCCTCCGGGCTCGCGAGCCGGGCCGAGCCGCTTCCAGCGGAGCAGTAGGTGCTTAGGGGTTCCTGGAAGCGAAGCATTTTGGTAGCGCCCTGCTAAATGGTTGGACATAGATAGGTAGATGTCCACCAGAGGGTTTGGAGTTCAAATTCATGTCCCTTGGGCCACAATCAATGCATCACTGCCAGCGGTGGTTGGTGCTCGATCTATCTCTCAGGAACCCTGCTTGGCGTGTCACACCCCCGCTTTCTCGGGGGATCCAGGTAGATGGCAGGGGCAATGTCCATTCCCTGGACTCAAGGCACTAGCCGTAGGACTTTCTTGCAACTGCCCCAAAGGATTGGCGATCGGCACGAATCCTTTACCATTCGTTGGTGATTCTTGACGTGTTTCTGCGCCGTCAAGAAGCTCAAGCTCAACGGATTTATTGGCTATGTGGGCTTCGACCGAAAGCTAGTTTTCGTGCCAGGTGGAGTAGCCAACTTGCAACAGCTTAAAAACTTTTGACAGACCAGGGTTCGTTTGCTGGCAAGCTGGGCTTTGGCGCTGTTCCCAGATAGGAACCCCTGCTAAAACGTTGCACCTCTGGATATGAATTTACGAGAGTTTCCTCATTCCTGTTGACCCCTCACCTGTTTCTGCCTCCATTGTTTTGCGACTGACCAGCGAAGGAAGAGCTAGAGGCAACTGAAGGACATACCATAAAGTTAAAATGTAACCTCCGGACCTGTAAAGATATGCTCTTTTCCAAGCACTTTGGACACATCGTTCATGCCAAAAGCAGAACTTTGAAGAAACCGCTTGCAATCAAAAGAGCAAGACGGGTAGTGTTCAGCCTGCATACCGGTCATGTCATATGCAGGATCAGTCAAGAGGGAACCGTACTGCAGTGTGCAAAACAAGACCAGGTAGTAGGTAACCATTATTTTGCAACATACCCAGTTTTTTTCGCTGAATTGGAGCGGGCGTGACCAGTTTCTGGGCTTCACCAAAAAGGAAGCCGTCCGAGTCAGACTGCCCGTGTCTTCTCCCTTCCAGTGTCGGGCCTTGAAGAGGACCGAAAAACTGGACCGGCTGAGAAGCAAAAGGAGATCTGCGCGGATGGGTCCGTGGGCGCCCCTAGTGTTGAAGGGAAACTGAAAAGGAAACCGCCATTTTGACGGTCCATTTTGAGACAGATGAGCAGATTCTGCACGATGTGACGCACGAAATTGACGCACGACTTGGAGGAAGAAACTGACATCGACCTGTCCTGAGCTGGTGGTGGCAAGTTGTTTGCTGGGATATCACTGGCGGTTCCATCATCATTGTGCAAGTGTCACTCCTGTTTGCTCGTTTGCCGCCCTTGGCACCATCTAAGCTTTTTGATGGCCGCATTTGAGAGCATTCAGGTGGGAAACAAGGATCACTGCAGTAAGTTTGCCATGGCACTTGGTTGACTTGCGAAGGGGAAAGCCAGAAAGCACATGGTGCAGGCAAACATTTCGTGTGGCCGTTTGGACATTTCTGCTTTCCGAAGCACTTTCGGATGCTTGGTGTATTGGAAGAGGAAGCCACTGGAGCTGGTCGGTTTGTCCATGAGGTTTTTCCTCAGAGAAGGGTTGGGATCGCAGGCGCAAAGAAATGGAGAAGGGAGACTAGACGCAAGCCCAAAGCGACAGTGCGCCACTGTCTTCCTGACATCCACATCCGCCATTTGTGAGTGGTTTCGCACACTTGGCGTATGACGGCTATTTCCACAGAAGTCATTAGAATCCTATCCTTACTACACTTTCTCTTGGAGTTTTGGCACTCGCTTTGCTAAATACTATTCGCAGGTTCGATCAGTTTGCCCACTTGGTGTGAGAATGGAACCCCAAAGCGGTTTTTCTGGCCGCTTGTTGCTACGAGACTTTTTTGTCAACCAATCAGGGCGCATATCTGATCTGCATTGTTTCCCTTGCACGTTCCAGCCCTCGTGTAGGGCAAGCCTCCTCGGGAAAGGACTGTGATCCCCACCTCGACACGGCTAGGCGCTTCAGAAATAACGAGGCGCGCCCTTGGGACATGTCCCCAAGAAGATCTGGGGCTGGGTGAAATCGTCCTCTTGGAGGCAGCCTGCATACCTCGCTCACCGGCCTTTCTCAGCCGCTGGTTTTTGGCACATCTTTCGTCATGCAGAGCAAGTGACATGGGCTGGAGATCACAATCTGCAACAGGTTTCAAACAAGAGGCAAGGGATTGGTCACTCGTAGAGGAGTGCCATGGACAAAGTTTGCCAGGTGCTTAAGTTGAGGCTCTGGGACATTCTTGCGAGCAGCGCGTGTCGTGAATTCTTTTCAAGTCAGGGACTCCAGCTCAAGGGGAAGTTGCAGTGTGTCACTCAGTCACATCATCAGAATTCCGGAGTACCTTGGTTATTTTGCGCTCCCGCCTGCCTCCTTCAAAGTAGCAGCGACAGAAATGATGAAGGCTTAGAAGCGCAGGTACAGTCCTACGAAACATGCTCACACACAGGGACTCTCTCTCTCTCTCTCTCTGTCTCTGTCTCTGTCCCTGTCCCTGTCCCTGTCCCTGTCCTCTGTCTCTCGCTCTTTCACACAGTGCGTATGTTGTTGTGGTCGTGGAATTGCAATGTGGTGAAGGGGGAGGGAAGGAAAGACAGACTAATGAAAAGGATGAGAACATGGGGAGCCGGTATTTTGGCAAACATGCCGATGAACATGCATGCCTGCGACGACAAAGTTGTATCCCCACACCAACTCAAACTCGAACTCGAACTCCCATCCCCCTGCCAAAACAAATATGCGTGCGTGCTTGAACTCGATCTCGAACTCGAGTTTGAGCCCCCCACACCAGGACAAATTACGCCCACACTCCCACGAAACTCGAACTGGAATTCGAACGTCGAACTCAAATCCCTCCTCCTCTGCCCGAACTCGAACTCTTGAGCAGTTGGAGGCCCCAGGTTACCAGAAAAAGGTACCAGATCGGCGCCTTTTTGCTGCGTTAGTGATAGATTCTCTTGCCGCACGTTTGGCCGGGCATCGCGACATCTTTACACCTTCAACAGCTCTCAAACACCGTCTCGCTTGCCCGAAAGGCGATGCAGTACACCTAGTCTTTTGCCATGGCCGGATGTGGCATGGGACCCTTCCAGATCGCCACAGACCCATTCTTGGCTGTTTGATCCTTGTCTCGGAACCACAGCGCCGCGTTGGCTGCGCTTTGACATGTCGGCCTGCTTGCCAGGGCGCAAACAATTTGGATGTGAAGGTACAACTTGGATTTGAAGGAACAACAAACGGAAAACCAAAAGGAACCCAACAAGCTTCCAAAAGAAAGCCAGAAGCGGACCAAAAGAAAACCAAAAGGACCCCCCCGGTTTTGGATAGACCGACTGACCTCAGTTTGCGAGGGGCCGCATCTCAGGCCGAGGGTCCAGGATCGGCTCGGCACACCACAAGGGCCTGGGGCCCGAGGGGGAGCGGTGGGGGGGGGGGGGGGGGGAGGGGCCTGCTGCCACACTCAACGAGCCTTACAGGAATCCTTGGGTTCCAAACATTCCACCATGGGGGATCCTTAGGGAATCCTTGGGTACCAAGCATTTGAGAGCCAATGTCGGTTTTGTTTCCCGCTTCAGCCGCGAGGCGTGTGGCACAAGCTGGCGCGCTCCAGCAGCGACTTCCGGCGGGGGGGCTTTGTGACCCACACCACGCCCAAGTTGGACAACCCTACGGCGCGCAGGCGAGCCTGTGGCCCGTTGGGAGCGGTAGGAGCCGGTGGTGGGTGTGTCTCAAAATTGGGGAACCCCCAACATGGTGATGGTCCTTCCTTTGAAGGCTATGGCTCCATAGGACCTTGGTGGAGTTTGGGCTTCCCATTTGGATAGCTCGGCTTGGCGTTTTGGTGCCCCGAGGCCACAACTGCCAAGGTCTAAGAGCTTGGTTACATGGGCTTCATAGGGGTGGATGCCGATCAGATTTTGGCAACTGTAAGGAATTTCGACTTTGGCAGTTCCAAGTACCAGGCCTTTGGAGTTTCCACAAAGTGCGACCTTGCATGTTTAATTTTACTTAACTTGGATCTCCGTTTTCCCTAGATCCAACAACTCAGGCGAGCACTCGCGATTCGGGCGCATGGAGTGCCAGCTTTGGCTGTGCCATGATCAAACTTGACGAGGAGATGGACCAATTGCCACCTGCGTGAACTCCGATTTGATGCAAGCCCGGGGCTTCCCAGCACCGGCTCCGTGCGACCCAAGCATTCTTCGCACGCAGCAGATCCTCCACCTTTGGGGAAGCCACCAGAAAACGGCGCCTGTTTTTTTGAGGGGAGGGGAGGGGGGGGGGGAAAGGGTTTCGTGGTTTTCAGCCACATTCACAAGGGTGCTTCTCAAAACCTGGATCTTTGGATTCCAGTTGGTTGCTCTTTGAAACCATCCAAACAGCCGCCGCCCTTTGAGACAGTCGAAAGCGCCAGGATCACAAACACCGAATACCTGAAGAGCCTGGCCACAGATACCTTCCGTGAGTCCCAGGACCGAGAAGGTCGTGTTGCGAGAAAGGCGAAAAGGTTTGGACCCGTTCCGGTCGTTTGAACCAACGGCGCGCACAAAAACGCCGGGGATTGGTTTGTGGTGGTTTGGTTAAATTCAAAATGGCGGCTTGCTTTCGGTTTGCTTCAGACTTGTGATAAAGGGTTGTACTGTTTGGTTTACTTCAAACTTGTGCTGGGCGTTTTGGTTTGCTCCGCAATGTTTGGCACACTTCTGGTGGTTTTGTATTTTGGTCGGTTCACTTCAAACAACACATGAGCCAACCCATGGACAAGGCTGTCCAGGAGCCCAGTGTTGTGATTGTCAAGGCACACTTTTCACCTTGATTTACAGGAAAGCAACAGATCAACCCCCACATTTTTGCCCAGCTGGCCGAAAAACGGCACTCCTTTGGGATTCGCCATGCTTAGGTAATCCACCCCCCCAACACCCCCCCAAAAAGTCAGGCAACCCTTGGGTGTTTAGGGAATGATCCCTGGTTCTTGTCAACCCCTTCAAACCACTGGGCTCCAAACCAATTGGGAAGAAGCTCAACATCGGCTTCCAACTCCTTGGTGCCTGTTGGGGTTCCCACGAGCAGCGCCCATTCTTTCCGTGAGCGCGCCACTTTTGCTGGCTTTGTGACCAAGCCACGTCCGGCAAAAAGGTTTACAACTCAGCGCTGCAGCGAATGCATTTGTGTGTATTGGACAATTTTCCGGGAGATGGATGCTCAAAAAGCTCCGAAGACAGATGAAGGCGCAGATTCTTGGTCGAGGCCTGTGCTAGCCCCTGTGTGCGGTGCATCAGCGTACATGTAGCCGAAACCGCAGATTTCTCATCAGAAGACACGTGCATCAGCCCGACATAGGCGAGCATGGCATCCATCAAAGGGCAAAACCTAGGATGACAGCACCTGGAACTCATAACTAAAATGACCTCAGCGCCGCTCACTGCTCTTCGGTACCCGTGGCTCGTGTCTGAGCTTTTCGCACAGGACTGGTTTCATCATGAGCATGCAACGGCCAGGCTGGCAAAGAGCTTGGTTGCTGCTTGGGGACCAATGGCCTGGCCAATGTGGTGTCCCTTTCCGGCGTAAACCACAGCGCAGCCAAAGGGAAGTCACTGATTTGGTGGTCACAATGGCGTTGACCAATTTTCTGGGGCCAAGCAATTACTCTTCCAAGAATCCAGAACGAGTCTGGACTGTCATTTACAAAGGGCCCTTCCAGCTCTTTCAGAGGGGCAGCCAAGGGGTTGGTCTCTTTGGGGCTTCAGGTCGCACACCAGCCTTGCCAGCCCTTAAAAGCATCGCTGTGCCCTCGTTGTCTTAATCCTTTCCGCCCTGGAGCTGTCTCATTGGATTCTTTTTCTGGGGGACGAAGCTGCAGCGTACCTTGTGGGCGAAAAGACTCAAAGACGCATGGAAGTTGTGGCGGGAAGGTCTTGGGCCGGAAGGAGGGATCGGTTCTCGGGCACGGGTTGCCGTGTGCTTCCCATTTCTTCTAGGCCCAGGATGTCATTCGGCTGAATATCTTTGTACCCCTGCCTTCTTTGCTTACATGTCTGGTGTGCGGTTCTCTAACAGGCCCTCTGGAGCTAGCTTTTCTGTGAGCACATCTTGCCCCACGCGCGATGGAAGCATAGGTGTGCCTTTTTAGGTCAGTTTGGTTCAACATAGATAGCTCTGGTTTTCTCCAAAAGGTTAGCATCTGTGGATGGACGAACTGCACCACTTTGAAACCATGAGAAACCATTGTTAGTTGGTATTTACAGGGGAATCAACATCTCAGGGTTTCTTAGGTGGTGAAGGATTTCGTCCATGCACAGTATGAATGGTTTGTCCTGCCATTTGGTTTTCACCCACTTTGGTTGTTGCCCAACAGAGGGAACTATGGTGAACTCCGCAGGCTGCCGGCCGAGCACTCGCCGCGGCCTTCTCCGCGGAGAGGCGGGTCTTCCGACCCTTGAGCCACAAGGAAAGCCGCCAGGTGGATCCAGATGCCTATGTTGACACATACCTGGCTGTTTTGAAGGGAATCCAAAGTGAGGTTCTTGGAACAACAGTTGTATGCACATGTTTTCAAGCAAGGGTCTGGCCCGGCCTTGGTCGGACAGGCAGGATTTGTTTTTGATGTTCGGTTGAGAGCGTGATGGGTGTCCCCCACATGTTTCCGGCAGACATAACACAGACCTCACAAAATGCCTGATTTTTGCGCCCGTGGTTTTAGGAAGGAGCACCAGAAACGCATTTTTAAGCTCAAATTTTGATCATGGGCACTTCTGCCTGCAACAAACAAATGCTTGGCCGCTGCGTCACCGAGCAACCTATACCCGATGCGCTTATCAGCTAGAGGTATGGGCGTGTCGTTTCATTGATGGCACCCAATTTGGGGCCAAGGGGGGAAGCGGGGGACCAAAGGGAAACTGCCTCATTTGGCGTCCCGCTTGAGACCAACCCATGTAGGGAGTGTGAGTGGCTTGGATGTATTTGGGGGGCTGTTCCTCGCAGAAACTGGACCAGCCTGATGCGAAAGCGCACCGAGCGGGAGAAGCTTCGGTGGTCAAGGCACACAAAGGATGACCTCTCCTTTCTGCGTTCTTGTTTGCCACCTCATCTTTCTGCGCTCTTGTTTGCCCAGAGATGCACGCCAGTTTAGTCAAACCCAAAGTCAATGATCCCCCAGTGGGGCTCATCACGGCCGCTAAATACACCCTGCTTTCGATCGTTGGGAATGTGAGGATCACGTGACCAGCATGTGTGTGTAGTAGCATCCTGGAGCCCAACTCTGGGACCTTGGATGGCTTACTGAGCAGGGACCAGAATCAAACATAGGCGGTTTGGCTGGGGGCAACAGTTGAGGTGGTTGTGCGAGAACCCATTTTAGGTCACCCAAACCTGCCCCGTGGAGCAAGGCCTGTTCGATAGCCCGTCACCTTCGCCGCGGGCGATGCGGCGTAGCATGCTGGCGCCCAGGTACTGACATGGAAGTCACACCGAAGATACTTATGCATGCACACGCAACCATACAAACACACGCGCACACACACACACACCCACATACCCACAGAATTCAAAGATAATCATACATGCGCGCGCTCACACACACACACACAAGTTGCTCGGTGCATCACTGCATAGATGTTAATTTGGTACATCTAGACATGTGTACTGTTGTACTCAAGCATGCCTGCATATACACACAGTCAAGGGATTTGCGGTGAATGAAAGGCAACACCCCTACTAGGCAACCAGGCATTTTTTTGTCCGGGGTTCACATGAAGATTCCAGTTTCCTTGATGCATGTACTTGCTCCCGTAAGACTAATCCATGACAGGCTGGCGAGATTTCTAAGGCTGTTAAGTGGTAATAGTTACTGGACCTCAGCAAATGGACCAGCTCCGGTTTTGGGAAATAATGCAAAGAGGGACCGCAGAGGACAGGGAGGGGCAAAGAGTCCAGAAAGAGGGCATGTGCCAAATGGTGGATGGTGGATTGCTGGTGGTTGTGGTGGCGGTGGCGGCATTCTTTGTTCTCACACGCGCACACAATTCTTTGGGCATTGAAACGGGGGTTCCTCAAGATAGGAATCGGTGCACCATGGTTGGTGTCCGCGTGTTCATCCGTGAAGTATGAAGCAAACGGAAGACTCATCACTTGTCACCAGTTTTGTGAAGCACTCTGTCATAAACGAGACCAAGCGGTTAACCCTCAGTTGGTTGGGGCTTTGAACCACTGTCTTCCGTGGAACTTCACGAGAAGCTCACGACCTCCGGGCTCCAAACCACTGAGCCGAGGTCGGAGCGCGGTGTTCGCCTGCAGGAGCTTCGCCAGGAGCGGAGGGCTTGGCCACTTCTTTCGGAGTTGACGTGTGCGCTTGTGCGTGAAAAGGGTGAGCAAGTTGGAAAGAAAACCGCCCACCCGGTTTTGTGTGGATTTTGATAGCTCGTGTGAAGCAGATTGTGTTCTTAGGCGATTGTGGGCCTATGGGTTGTTTGGGGGAGCGTACTGCAACCCTTAAGGGAACTTAAAGGGAATGGCCTAGGGTTATGACGAATCCTTGGACGGGGCCCAAAAAGAAAGAAAAGAACCGGCAGCAAGTGAAGTCGCGTGCCTTTACTTGTTCTTTTCCTCCCACCGTCCTGCTGTACCATCATCCTTTTCTCGTGGCTGTTGGCGACCCCCCCCCCCCACCCCCACCCACCCCCCCCCCCAGACACTCTTGTGAAGATTATGCGCGGTAAGTAAGTGCGCCATGTTGGGTGTTGAACAGGGGCATCACATGAGACGCCGTTCAAAACCAAGTCATGTGTGTGTGTACCAAGAGCTAAACCGTAACATGCTGTGCCCAGAACTACCCTTTGAAGCGTACAAACTAAAGTGCTAAAGCAGGCCTCAAAATGGAACCCCTGTTGATGGCCCACTTGGCGGAAGCAGCCACATGCAGGACAAGGAGAAACCCGTCAGCCTCTTTGACAACGGCAATGAGCCAGCCCGGCGAGTTCGCTGATTGCACTTGGGGGCTGTCTCGGCAGACAATGATATTGCTGCTGCTGCTGATGATGCTGCTGCTGATGATGATGATGATGATGATGATGATGATGATGATGACCATGATGACCATGATCATCACGATGATCATGATGATGATGTTGATGACGATGATCATGATGGTGACGACGACGACGACGACGACGACGTTGACGACGAGGATGAGGATGAGTATGAACATGAGCATGAGGATGGCGTTGCTGCTGATTATTATATGCCTCTGATTATGATGATGGTGATCATGATGACTATTATTATGATGGTGGTGGTGGTGGTGGTGGTGTCATGATGGTGATGGTGGTGCTGGTGATGATGATGATGGCGGCGACGATGATGATGCTCATGGGTGGTGGTGGTGGTGTCGGTGGTTGGTGCTGCTGCTGGTGCTGGTGCTGCTGCTGCTGCTGCTGCTGACAGGCGTGCTAGAATCTGGCCACTCCCAAACCCGGCGCCAACTTGCCAGGCAGTTCTGGGCCAGCCCCCGCTCGCCGCGGGGCGTCTCTGTGCGTAGCCCGCTGAAGGCAAGGCATGGGGTGCCGTGCCAGCAGGTCCGGGTGAGTGTTTGCCAAGCTGGGGTCGCGCGAATCTGAGCCAGGGGGGATAGTGCGAAGTGTCGTTTTTTTGGGGTTCTCCTCCAGGTGTTCGGGTCTTGTGGGTGGGGATCTTTTTAGCATTCGTGCTGTTGCTTGACACCTTAGCTTTTCAAGGAGGACATTTGCTGAAAATACGCAAAACACCCACCGCTCACAGCATGTGTTTCTGTTCGAACTTGGGCCCCGTGCACAGTTGGCTTTGGAACATGGAGACATGGCATTCGAGAGTGTCGTCTAGCAGGAACAATTACATTCCTGGACTTGATTCCGCATAGCCACTTGCCGTGCAGCCACTTACCACGGTCGGTGTCAAGCAACAAAACACTCGCACACACACACACAGATACACATACACATACACATACACATACACATACACATACACATACACATACACATACACACACACACACACACACACACACACACACACACACACACACACACACACACACACACACACACACACACACACACACACACACACACACACACACACACACACACACACACACACACACACACACACACACACACACACACACACACACACACACACACACACACACACACACACACACACACACACACACACACACACACACACACACACACACACACACACACACACACACACACACACACACACACACACACACACACACACACACACACACACACACACACACACACACACACACACACACACACACACACACACACACACACACACACACACACACACACACACACACACACACACACACACACACACACACACACACACACACACACACACACACACACACACACACACACACACACACACACACACACACACACACACACACACACACACACACACACACACACACACACACACACACACACACACACACACACACACACACACACACACACACACACACACACACACACACACACACACACACACACACACACACACACACACACACACACACACACACACACACACACACACACACACACACACACACACACACACACACACACACACACACACACACACACACACACACACACACACACACACACACACACACACACACACAGAGACACACACAGACACACACAGAGACACACACAGAGACACACACAGAGACACACACAGAGACACACACAGAGACACACACAGAGACACACACAAGACACACACAGAGACACACACAGAGACACACACAGAGACACACACAGAGACACACACAGAGACACACACAGAGACACACACAGAGACACACACAGAGACACACACAGAGACACACACAGAGACACACACAGAGACACACACAGAGACACACACAGATACACACACAGAGACACACACAGAGACACACACAGAGACACACACAGAGACACACACAGAGACACACACAGAGACACACACAGAGACACACACAGAGACCCACACAGAGACACACACAGAGACACACACAGAGACACACACAGAGACACACACAGAGACACACACAGAGACACACACAGAGACACACACAGAGACACACACAGAGACACACACAGAGACACACACAGAGACACACACAGAGACACACACAGAGACACACACAGAGACACACACAGAGACACACACAGAGACACACACAGAGACACACAGAGACACACAGAGACACACAGAGACACACAGAGACACACAGAGACACACAGAGACACACAGAGACACACAGAGACACAGAGACAGAGACACACAGAGACACACAGAGACACACAGAGACACACAGAGACACACAGAGACACACAGAGACACACAGAGACACACAGAGACACACAGAGAGACACACAGAGACACACAGAGACACACAGAGACACACAGAGACACACAGAGACACGCAGAGACACACAGAGACACACAGAGACACACAGAGACACACAGAGACACACAGAGACACACAGAGACACACAGAGACACACAGCGACACACAGAGACACACAGAGACACACAGAGACACACAGAGACACACAGAGACACACAGAGACACACAGAGACACACAGAGACACACAGAGACACACAGAGACACACAGAGACACACAGAGACACAGAGACACAGAGACACAGAGACACAGAGACACAGATACACAGAGACACAGAGACACAGAGACACAGAGACACAGAGACACAGAGACACAGAGACACAGAGACACAGAGACACAGAGACACAGAGACACACAGACACATAGACACAGAGACACAGAGACACAGAGACACAGAGACACAGAGACACAGAGACACAGAGACACAGAGACACAGAGACACAGAGACACAGAGACACAGAGACACAGAGACACAGAGACACAGAGACACAGAGACACAGAGACACGGAGACACAGAGACACAGAGACACAGAGACACAGAGACACGGAGACACAGAGACACAGAAACACATGACACAGAGACACAGAGACACAGAGACACAGAGACACAGAGACACAGAGACACAGAGACACAGAGACACAGAGACACAGAGACACAGAGACACAGAGACACAGATACCCAGAGACACAGAGACACAGAGACACAGAGACACAGAGACACAGAGACACAGAGACACAGAGACACAGAGACACAGAGACACAGAGACACAGAGACACAGAGACACAGAGACACAGAGACACAGAGACACAGAGACACAGAGACCCAGAGACACAGAGACACAGAGACACAGAGACACAGAGACCCAGAGACACAGAGACACAGAGACACAGAGACACAGAGACACAGAGACACAGAGACACAGAGACACAGAGACACAGAGACACAGAGACACAGAGACACAGAGACACAGAGACACAGAGACACAGA